AGAGCTGCATAAAGTGAAAAAACTTAGAGAATGAAAGATAAAATATTTTTCGTTCAATCATAATATATGAAAACTTTCCAGTCTCGAGTGGATTCTTTTTTCCACTCACAAAAAATAAGAAAACTTCACGCTGTTCCATATTTATTAAACAAATAATACAGCAAGCAGCACAGTTTTTAACGACATATCGGTCTTTGATGGGCATCAAAATCACTATTTTATTAACAACATATGATAATTTTATTTGAGAGACTAAACCAAACATAGAGATGAAGAAGCATTATGTCTTTAAATACCGATTTTTAGATGGTACAAAATACCTCCAAGTAGAAATATTTCTGGCTACAGACAAGGCTTAGTTCCAACTGCAAATTTGATCATGGAGCGATAAAAAATAAATGGTAAATTCTACATTGAAGCAAGTAGGAGTGGCCCTATATTATTGGTGCTCAATTTGTTGTTTCCTTTTTGATATCTTAAATTGTTTGGGCATACTTACATGCTCTTTACTAATTTTACGAGTCTAACCCTACAATATTTAGCATTTTAATATCTTCGATAGGTGACCACCATGGAGGTTGAAACCATTCTAAGGGCTACGAGGGTTGCTGTTTCTTAGAACAGAAAATGTAAAAACATGCTTGGTTAACTGCTAATACCGTTCAAATGCCACTCATCTCAAGCGTGTAAGTTGCTTAGCAAAGGCAAACTTAATCATTTAATTATTCTTAACATTTATTTATGAACAGTATTGGTGTGTAACCAAAAGATGAAGCTTTACTAATCTTATGTATCCATTAAACGGAAGGGAAAGATGCCTTTTATAGGCTACTGTTTGGGAGGGATAACTGATAACAAACTTAACTAACAAAGTTCCAACTAATCCATAAGGTAATAACAAGATAACCAAACTAACTACTGTAAAACTAAATAAACTATCCAAAGAATACATCAAATTCCCTCCTAAGAAAAACTCGACCTCGAGTTTCAAGATGCCAATTGGAAAGAGTCTGGTGCCTTATACTCATATATATACGCCACATTCAATACCGGCTATATTCGTAGGTCCACTGGAAGATTGATGCAATAGGCGTTGTCTCCATAACGTTGCAGGACCTCAAAAGGACCTATCTTTTTGTCCTTCAATTTGTTGTAAGTTCCTTTGGACCGTTTGTGACTTCTTGAGATGAACCATGACTAGATCGCCTATCTCGAATTGTTTGGACCGTTTGTGAGCATCTGCAATAGTTATATTGATTAGTACGTTTTCGTGCAGCTTGGTCAGTGGATTTAAAAGGAAGAGAAGACTTAGCTGGTTCATCAAGAAGTTTGGCCAGAGTAAGCGTGGCTGAATTCTCGGGGATCATCGGCTCATTCAACTCAGGAGGAGCAGTCTTGGAAGAAGATGCCCTGTCCCATGTCGTCCGTCGAATAGGAGGCTTCAATCGTTTCCGCTCAATTTTCTCTTCAATCTTGGTAGCCATGGTGATTGCATCCGTCAACATATTTATGGGCTGAACATCCAATTGATCTTGAATGTCCTCTCAAAGACCATCCACAAATCAGGCAATCTTGTAGTCCTCTGATTCGGCCAAGTTAGTTCTGGCACCAGGCCTGTGAAATTCTTCAGCATAATCGGCGATGGACTTCGAACCTTGACGACATCTCTGATACTGTCGATACAACAGTTGCTCGAAATTTACCGGCAGAAATCTTCCACGCATCAGACGGAGCATACGCGGCCAGTTGCGAATGGGTTGCTTTCCTAAACACCGGCGATTAATCTCAAGCTGGTCCCATAAGGCCAATGCTCCGGACTGCAGCTTGAAGGCCACAAGACAGACCTTCTTGTGTTCAGGGTGGTTGGTATAATCGAAAAAACTCTCGACGTTCTTGACCTAATCCAAAAACCCCTCTACATTCATCTTACCATTGAAAGTCAGAAGATCTATCTTCATTCTGAAATCGGGTCGAACACCCTGCCATGGTGGTACTCCTCCCGATCACGCCTAGGATTTGCGCAAAAAAAATTGTCTTCTTCGTCCGAAGAATCGGAATCTTGTACGCGTAACTACAGTTCTTGAAATCGGCGCTCAAGTCCCCCTTCACGTCCAGCTGCTTCAGGTGTTCGCGATCTATTTCTTGGACGATTCTGACGTTGGCCACCACGATTTGCATTGCCTTGGTTACCCAAGTCATCCCGTAGTCGCTCTTGCTCGATCGCAATGTTCTCCAAGTGTTTTGACAAATTCTCCATCAACCCATGGATTGTCTAAACACTGGAACGAACTTCGCACTAAGAATCCTCTACCAACAGTAAACGTTCAGTAGCTGACCTTGGCGATAGTGGTTGATTTGTTGCGGGATCCACCGCGGGTCCCTTGCCGGAAGGCGCTGTGGTCTTCCCAGCCATCAGATCCGAAGAAGCTTGTTCAGGGCTCTAATACCAAATTTGGTGTGTAACCAAAAGATGAAGCTTTAATCTTGTGTATCCATTAAACGGAAGGGAAAGATGCCTTTTATAGGCTACTGTTTGGGAGGGATAACTGATAACAAACTTCCAACTAATCCTTAAGGTAATAACAAGATAACCAAACTAACCAAACTAACCAAACTAACTACTGTAAAACTAAATAAACTATCCAAAGAATACATCAAGTATGAAAATTTAATTAAACACGACAGCTGTAGTTTATACATATTATGTGGAGTAATACATTTTATTCACAATAATCTATGACTAAATATAGTAGTTCAAATGCGTTTGACCCACCTGCAATGTACTTGCGCACTAAACAACACAGGCGATCCATTCCATCTATAAGGAATCCAATAGTTGGATCGCTAGGATCCTGCCATCAAAATTTAGTTGAAATCAAACACTTCCTCAACATTTTGGTATAGGAATTTTACAGGGTGGAAGCACTTTACTATGTCTACTGGTATAATCCTGGCAGCTTTGGATTTTGAGGATGCAATTCCCACATGTTGAAAATACCAGGTCACTTCAGATTGTGCTAAAGCCAGCGCAGAAAACACCATCTGTCATAAATATTAATATCAGGGAAACATGTAAGAAGTTTATGCATCAATATGTTTTAAAAAACTAGTAAAATCCGGATGTAAGTGGTAGTCAGAGTGTAGTACTATTTGAGTGAAAATAAGTCCATAAATAAGTTCATTTTTATCCATTCAGAGATTTCAGAAACTTTCAAAATATGAAAATATAAAACATGGCTAGAAGAAAGAACTAAAGGAACTTCAAAAAAAAAAGGACTATCAGTAATTTATAAGACCAGGATCCAAACAAATCCCACTTACATGTAGATTTTTTTTTTTGGGAAGGGGGATGATCTCTACCCGGCCCCTAGGCTGTTCATTATTCCCTTTTTTAATATATATATATATATATTGGGAATTCATTAAATTCAAAGCTTCCTTTGGAGTTCATACTCTTAAATCTTTTTTTCTTTTCTCTTTTTCATAATTATGATTTCTATTTTGTCAACCCGCCAATAGAAGAAACTTTTTGTAATTCTCATGGCTCCTTCATACCATATCTCTCATTGTGTTTCATTTTCTTGCCTCTTTAATTAAAGTTTAGTTTCTTATTAGAAAAAGAGAGGAAATATTCACACCATACCAACTTGAAAAATCTAACTACATTAGTAAAAGCAACCAAAAATCTAATACAAATAAAAACACCGCAAGTTATGCAAGTAACGAATGTTTTCATAAATATCACACCAAAAGGGAGAAGTATACCTGAATATTAGGGGCTAATAAACTTGGTTGATCAGTGAAGAATATCACCATTCTTCCAATCTCTTGCTTGAGAAATATTCTCCTCTCATGATGTATGGCATCACAAGACACCATTGCTTGTTCCTGGATCTCACTGTAATGCATAACAAATCATTGCATCATCAGATTCATGATGATTTTGACACAAACGTGAAAGGAGGGAGAGGGTGGGAAAAAAAGAAAATGCACACACAATCAGGCCAAAACTCATCAAGATATCTAATGAAGACAAAATCAGGGTTTCTTTTTTTTATGAGAAACATACCAAGAAAAGACAACATAAGGGTTGGGTGGAGGACACCCCCTAAAGACAATAAGACCTTCCAATCATACTAAATCATGAGGATGTCACCACCAAGAAGTATGAGGAGGTCACCACCAAGAAGAAGTATGTTGTACACGGTAGTCCCCTATAGAAGAAGAATCTTCAAAAACCCTTTTGTTTCTTTCTTTCCATAAAATTCAAATGAGAGCTCTAATAGCACAACTCCACAACACCTTTGCTTTGTTTTTGAACCTCATACCCACCAAACATTCCAAAATCTAGTTGTCAATTCAATTTGGGAGGCAGGCCAAAAATCCAAAAATCTGAAACAGACGAGAGCACCATTTCAAAGCGAACGAGCAATGAAGAAAGAGGTGATCTATGGTCTCTGCAAAATGAGGGGGAAAGGGACCATTTGGGGAATTTCCTTTGAATATTTCTACCGAGTTTAAACTACTATAACAAAAACTCCAAAGGAAAAACTTTACCATTTTGGAAACCTTGAACTTCCAAATCACTTTCACCAAAGGGAAATTTTTTATTTTTATTTTTTATTTTTTATCTTTTATATCTTTTTCCAAAAGAGGGGAGATGATATGTCCCCAAAAGATCAAAGGGTTACAAAAAGGAAGCCCAATTGATCAAGATATGAACAAGATCATAATTACAAAAAAGAATGGCGCGAGAACTCCAATGGATTCAAAGAGCTTGTCAGAGTTCCAAAAAACGTCAATACTATAAATTTTCTCTTTGACAACCGTTTCTCTCATATCAAATCTTTCACAGCATAGCCATTTTAGTATAGTTGAGATTATTTTTTAATTTTTCTGGAAAAACAAATTAATGTTTTCAGATATCCCATCAAGAATGGACCTTTGGATAAGATTTACAATTGATATAATGAAACACTCCCATGAACTAAACCTACAAAATACACTACAAATTGATTCGATAACATTAATTCTTCTATGTATCCAAACACAGTTTAAATCCTAGGCATTTAACTCATTTCCCCATAACCATCAAGCAGACCACATTATCCAAACATGCGGTTGATGTTTGTTTATTAAACAATACCAGATAATAAGGGAACTCTGATACGACCCTCCAAGAACCTTTGCCTGTACTTCTTAACAAAGTTATCATGCACATAATGAAATTTGCAGAGTACAATTAACGCACATGGTCGGATATACCAAAAGAATCTTCTTGAAAAGGAAAACTTCAGGTATTGACTGATAACAATATCCTTCCAACCCACCCGATTCTCAATTACTGTAGCGTATGGAGTAAGAAGTAAAACTAGAATTTAAATATTTTTAAAGAAAGGATGATTTTGTGTTGAAACAGAACAAAGTAAGAGACTTGCTTTACACCTGATCATTTTTTCAACCTGCTTGGCAACACTATACTCCAGATCGGCTTCTTTCTGCTTTGTACGCCCAGATTTGGCCATCTTCTTTGATTCTAATACTCTTGGTAAAACATATAATTGATAATCCTCATGTAGATGTATGAACTACATGTCAACAATCAACGATGAGTTAACAACCATAAATGAACAAAATATATTTCAATAAGGCCTTCTAAAGTTTCTTCAATCTCACCTCATCTCGAAATAATGAAAGAATTAAGTTTTCCTTCAGTACGACCTGAAATGTCAGGAGGGAGGATGAGAAAGAGAAGATAACGAAATCCATAAAAAATTATTGATAAATATATGAAGCTGAGATTTTTTTTTGTATTGAGATAAGTGAGAATTATTTATTAAAAGAAGAAATAAAAAATTTTGTGCCCATCCAACTAAAGTGAAAAGACTAGATTTGTTTCTTGATAAGAGATAATTCTATTGAGAAGGAACAATAATACAACAAAGGGGAGGGATGACAAGCCCAACAATATAATAGGAAGATGGCGAAAACCCCTCCAACTAGCTAAGACCAAGAAGCCAACAAAGTACTGAAATATTTGAGACCCAACAATAGGTCAAAATAATCAGGACACACACATCTTTCCCCAGGTTGGTAAACTCCAGAATGCTAAGGCTTTGCTACTATTCCATACAAAATAAGGAATGGGATGCCATTAAGACAACTAAATTCCAACTTCTGAATCACTGCACAAGAATTGATCTCCATTTCCTTTGTTTCCTTCTTCCAAGATCTAACAAAAGTAAAGGGCTTTTTGAGAGACCCCTTTAAGGAAACAAATCCCATTGGTTTCCCATCAATGGCAACCAAAAAGCTAACAAGCACATCCACCATTCCACCATTTCCATATAGTCCCAAAGTGTTCACTCTCCAACAAAGAATCCAAAACTCCCTACCTCATTATTGGCCTCTATGTGGACTAATCGGAGGACTACCTCTTCCTCTGTTTCTCCACGATTATGTCATCACCCATCAACTGCTTTCTTGACCACAATTAGGGTCGACAATTTGTCCAGTACTGGTAAAAGTAGCTTCAGACATGAAGATAGGGAAACACCACACTTTTCAACCTTTTGACCAAGAATTCAGCAACGATCATATGCACACAAATTGTAAGACTAATTGATGTATCAATGAAAAGTTCTTGTTCCTTTGTTTAAAGAAAAATTTGATATTTACCCAGGGACTTCCAGAGCATTAGCTTTCTTTGGAATAAAAGTAATAGTCTCATTCTTTTTTTTTTATAAGAGTAATAGTCTCATTCATAATAGCCCCCAAACGTTTCCATGACCATGATATCTATTTTTTGTGAGAAATATTAAATAATCTACTCCATAAAAGTTTTTGCCCAGTGATAACAAAAACAGGTGGTCTAAGCCACTGGGTAGGAGGATTTTATATCGTATTACCTAAAGAGTAAATATATGGTCCAACAAATTTACTCAAATATAGACAATTGGAATGACATCAAATTAGTACCAACATGATGCATGAACCAAAAATATCAATTAGCACAGGTTCTTATTTTTTCATGTCCTATATGTCTAAACATGAGCATATTCTTAGTTAAAATGGAAATTTTCAGCAGTAAGGAGAGGACTCATAATATTGAGGCAAGTACCAGAGCAATGTCAATGCTGGTTACACGAAGCAGCTCATCAGGACAAACAAGATACCCAAACAATACCCACTCCCGATAGGAAGTGACATTTGCAAGATCTTGTGCTCTCTGCACAGGAAGTGGTTGAACAAAGCAGAAGAATAAACAATAACACTACACTACTTCAAGAGGTTTCTAATTAGCAGTAGTAAGAAATAGAAAGATCATCCAAACTCCAAAGAAACGTTTACCATTGGATGAGCAGAATTTGTAAGTATGTCTGGATATCGAGGGTGATATGGACTTAAAAATCCTTCATTTCTAAGTTTCCTTGTATCTGTTGACAGAAAAATAATAGGACCCACTGCCTCTAAGACCTGAAATGGCAAACCAGGATTACATTAACAACTCTTCAGAAGTTAGAACTTTACATTCAATGCTTACATAAACAGAGAAAAAGAAAGCAAAAAAATATTACTCCAAGTAAAAATCTAAAGATAACATGAAAACCAAGCATAATTATTCGACGAATCAAAATTAGGGTCCAAAGAGGCAAGATATAAATTGAATAAAAAAACTCTTGAACATTTATTTTTATACATCATAGATGTACACCTTTTAGTGCAATCTTCTCAAAATTATAGAATAAAAGCAAAGAAAAACTACCTCCAGTCTTGAAAATCAGATAGTATTATAGTTAATGAACAAAATAACTATTTCAGATAAATATCACTTTTCCTTGTTATTCTATATGTTGAGACTATTATTAAAGCTTGGTTGCAAGAATTTAAAACAGGTGATGTACAGCTTTTGTGTTACTGTAGCTAACAAAAGTTGACATAAGAAACCATTTTAGACCATTTTCAAATCTTCAAGGGTTACAAATCTGTAAGATTTTAGGACCAAATGGTACTACTTTTCAGACCCCATTGACTAAAAGAGGTACTTGTCCTTTTAGTTTGCTCAGTAAGTATGTGTGTGCACCATTCCCATCTTTCTCAACATTTCATATATAAAATGTTGGTTAAATTAAAAGTTTTGTCCTGGAACTTTGAAGGTTGAGTCAAAAAAATCTCTGAAGTTCAAAAAATGTTGGTTTAGTCCCTAAACTTTCAAATTATTCTACTTTGGTCTCTCAACCTTCAAATGTCCATTTTGGTCCCTAAACTCTCAAGTTTGTTCCATTTTAATCCTTAAACTTTTGAAATGTCTAATTTAGTCTCTAAACTTTAAAAATGCAATCATTTTGGTCCTTACTTTAATTTTGATTTTAAAAAATGCAATGTGTTCGTATGAGATGTATTTAAATCCCATAGGTTGAAACCGAGTATTAGGTAAGCAAATTTTATGTGGAAAAATAATCTAACAAAGGACCAAAATAATTGTTTTTTGTTTAAGTTCAGAAACTAAAATAGACATATGAAAGTTTAGGGATCAAAATCAATGTTTCAGCCTCTAGGCTTTTCCTCCTAAAGAAGCAAGGCGATATGAGGCGAAAGCCTCAATTTTAATTAAAAAAAAAATTATACAAATCTTAGATTTGTGTGATTAGGTATTGCTAAACATAATAGTTATATAAAATTATCCAAAAAGAAAATCACCCCCAACAATTACCACTTAAATAAAAATTCTAAAAGTTATCCTTACAATCACTAGTATTATCACTAATAGGATGGACTTATTCTACATAATTGTTGTCTTCAATGGTTTTAAAGTCTAGGTAGTAAAAGTAGCAATAGATCCAATTGTTACAACTCCTCTATTAGCATTCCATAGACAAAGAAACATGTATACCTTTTAAGAATTGGACAAATTAATAATATTCTTTTATCATCACACAAGGCGAAAAGACATTAAGCTTCATCGCATCTTCATAGAGGTGTAAGCTTTTTATGGTCCAAAGAAGGCGTAAGTCACGAGACTAAAAATTAGAGTCTTGCCTAGAGGCAAGCCTCAAGGCATAAGTCTCAAAAGTCTTTTAAAACATTAATCAAAATAATTATTTTTTTTAATTTTAGGAACTAAAATAGGCATTTTTTAATCTAATAAATCCCTAAACATTTAATTTTATGTCCAATAAGTACCCGAATTTTTTAAAATATCTCAAAAATTAAGGATTTATTGGACACAAAATCGAAAGTTCAAAAACATATTAAATACTAAAATTGAAAGTCCAGTGTCCTATTAGACACTTCTTAAATTTTAGGGAGGTAGACATTAAAAGATTATGGACTTGATAGATGCTTTTTAAAGCCCAGACTCAGTAGTTACACTCTAAACGACCTTGCCACAAATTGGAAGGCGTTCCTGTAACTTTTTGGTATTTTGTATATTTCATATCATCAATGAAATACTTGTTTCTTAAAAAAAAAACAAACAAACAAACAAACCTCATTGAAACAACTCTAAAATGGACTGAATTTATAATTTAACCTATAATTTTTGTTTCTCATTATGCCCAAAAAATACGGGCCATCTTTGTAAATTGCTTTTGTTAAAATAAAAGTGACGTTAACCTCTCCAATACGGGGGCTGACAAAATTTAGATCTTCTTGTAGTCCTTTCAAAGGTGGATCATATGAGTCAATGAATTGAACCAGCCTGTAACTCAAAAAAAAAGAGACATAAAATGAATAATTTGTTAGTATAAATAAATATAGGAATCGAGCTGAAACTATGAAAGTAAGAGCTCATGATGAAAAAAAAGTTTAGCATCACCAAAGTGAGATGATATAATATTATTTTGGCTAAGAAAATGGCTAACAATTAGAATAATGGAAGAATTTCAAAATGACTGGTCACTGAAGCTAATGCAGAATCCAAAAACAACACTTCAGCTAACGCAGAATCCAAACTTGTTAACCCGATTAATTTTGTTTTCCATCCAAGAGTGCCAAAACTATACAGTTCAATAAATAACATAATTTTTATCTCTCTGAAATTACAAACAACGACAGGCTGAGGCAGGACTTAATAAATAAATATGCCTCATACCGATGATAAAAATCACAGTCTCGATCATTTCTTGTCATGGCGTGCAGGAGGTTATAAATCTGAAGCATCATTTTCCTTGGCAACTGTCATGAAACCATTATCAGCAAAATCAAAACTTAACATGTCAATGAAAACACCGGTAGTTGCCAACATGAATAGTTGATAAGCTCTTAGATTGATGAAATTGAAACATAAGGAAAAATGCTTAAAACAACAAATGTTGTAGTTGACTTGCCTTATGCGCAAACAAGTTAACACGGATGAAGGAACAAAAGAGATCCATAAAAGCATGCAGGATGACTGAATTTTGATGGGGCTGCAAAATACTGTCACAAGTTATTAGAGATAATATACAGAATCATTGCCACTGTTATTCGAATAATTACACCGAGAAAGTACAGTCAAAAAGTGGTAATATCACAAGTACCAAGTTTTATATACTCATTCAGTGATATTGAGCCTTTAGAGGCTACAGTAAAGCTCTCCAATTGATTTACATTGGAAAAAGAAAGCTCTAGTCAATTGTCTGTGTCTAAACTTTTTTTCCGTTAACAAGTTTGAGGAAGCTCTCCAAAGCTTATGTAGAAACTCTATCTCAAAGCTTAAGAGATCATATGGCCTCCACACATCTAATTTTATCTTCAAATGTATTTCTTGTAATCAAAATTCCCATCGAATGGCTAGAACCATGTTCAACTACAAAATCACATTAAGAGATTTGGTGGACTTAAAAGATAACAATATTTTAGATGTTGAAGATGTGTTGGAGAAGAATGGGTTTCGGGTTCAATGTTGATTTAACATGGTATCAAAGTATGAGGTCCTATATTCAAACTTATGTAATGCTATTTCCTCCCAATAAATATTGATAATCATTTGTTGGGTCTTGTGCAAATTTTCAAGCCTACAAGGGAGTGTTAAACATTGGATTTAAGCATTTGAGTTTAATGGTGATTTAACAAAAACAACTTATAACAAGGTAAAAAAAAAGCATCTAGCCAACTAATTGCATGTGAACCTCAACTAATCGCACAAGACAACTAGCGGAGTCCACAACATTTGGTTGTCAGAAAACTCACAAGATTTTAATATTCTATGTAGGTGGCCACCATGGGGTTTAAACTTATTTCTCCAAAGTCCATTTTATCTTTTCAATTGTCACAATGACCACTAGGCAAACCCATAATGGTGAATAACTATAACTTTTGTAACTACCACTTCTTTTAATGGTGACTAGCAGCAATAAAATTTGAATTTGAACATTCCCTATCCAATAAGGAGACTTTCCCAATATATTTTGTTTAGTTCTAAGATGCCTATAAAGGTGGCTAAGATTCCTGAAAAGGTGACGGAGGGCAAAGCGGGAGATTCAGAAAGTCATCTCATAATTTGGAAAGTTATGATCTGGAAAAAGCCTAATTTCAGTGATCATGGGAAAGGTTAGGATTGGGTGCCATAGTTTTTTTTTCTCCCTCTCTCTCTCTCTCCCTTTTACCCTTCTTGGTCTTGGCATGTTCAACAAGGGTGAAACCTTAAAAAAGCCTTCTATTAATGCATATATTGGTTTCAAGGTCACCCTTTTAATAAAAAAATAATACAAGTTGCTAACCAAACTTTATATAAATATCATTCTGGCTGGCTAACGTCTTCTGCAAATTAAATGACTATCTTTAAGACTCACCAATAAAGTTATAACTGTACTACTAATGTCCAGTATAAGTCGCAGAGCCTGTTCTCGAAATGCCATCAAATCAAGAAGCAGCTGTTAAAGAAAAAAGGAAACTGTTACAATTCATAGTATATGCTTGAAATCTAATCGAGGAAAAGAAAATAAACATTTGGAATGGCACAGTAACCAACGTGAAAACTCTATTTCAGATTGTTATTACTTATTATGAAGTCACAAGTGTTAAGAGTATAAAGAGTTCAAATGAAATTTACATGTAACTTCTCTTGGATTAAAAAATCTAGATGTAACTAAAATAAACAAACCCAGCTGCCAGTATTCTAATTTCTAAAATACAGATATAAGATGAAAGCTGGTTAAAGATCTACCAAATCTTACCTGAACCCATGGTTCCAGACTTTGCATATGAAGTTCTGCACTATCATTGATAGCGTCTAGAGCAATTTTATCAACCTGAGCCAATATTTTCCAACAGCATCCCAAGTTTAATATTACTGTACAAATAAAAGGAACTGATCGTATGTGCCCAAGGGAAAATGACAATATAAATGAATCTTACACGTTCAAGTTGTAATTTGCTAAAATGCTCAGGAAATTTTTTTGAGAGCAATATGCAAATCCTTGGGTGGTTGGGTAAAACTCCTGCTTTCCAAAATGCTTCAGAAAATACATGAGCAATTGGATCGGGATAGTCTAAGATTTGGTTCAACCTATATATTTTAGCCATAAGACCATCTGCAACTTCAATAAGCTGGTACACCCACTGAACATTCAAACCCTTATGGGACCCAACTGAACTGGGGTTCTGGCCATCATGGGCAGTATTCCTAGTACTCCGAGCTGCAACTGGAGAACTCATATCTGGCCCCAAGTACTCGGTCCATCTTGACTGGTCATCCTCCCTTGTTCTAGTACCAGTTGGTGATTGAGATGGATCCTGAACTGAATATCGTTGTCTTGATTTCGCCATTGGTTAATAACTTGGTTCCAAGAAATTCTGCAATTTCAAGGTGGGGTGGTTGAAAATCAAATGTTGAATATAACGACCAAATTCAGTGCTAATTCTGTGAATTGCAAGAGAAATCATGGAAGCGAAAAATAAAATAGTTCCACACAACACTAATTGTTTCTATAATCTTTCCAGCTCCACGGGTCATCAGTGAGCGACAAGACAACGTCGTAGCAAATTCAACCTAAGCAACTAAACAGCCGCAACAATTTCCATACTCTTTTGAAATCCTTCCTCTCTCCAAACTTCTGGAAACCCGATGCTTTGTTTCGGGCAGAAACTACTATAGTAGGAAGCTCAATGTTTGAATTCCATGAAAACAGTTTAAAGGGTATAAACAGCTCCCTCCCAACAGTGCACACGTCGAACTAAATTGGCAAAAAACAGTCACATTCTTTCTTCTCCCCCGTTAAGGCGCATTAAGACATAGAACCAGACGGAACAAACAACAGCGAAAGAGATAGAGAGAGAGACATACACATACCTTGCTAAGCTTGAGCTCCAATGGAGAAGCAGCTTAAGTGAGCTCAGATCCAAGTCTTCCTGCCACTGGAAACGAAAACAAACAATTGAATTACAATTGAAAACAAACAATTGAATCACTGTAATTGAATCAGAAAAAATTACAGTGAAATGGAGCTGGTGATGACGATGAGTTGAATAATTCTTTTGTTTTCTGGACGAGTCAATCTCGCGGGCGTTTTTACGGGAAATTTCTTCGGTCCTCACCAGTCACCACTTCACCATTTTCACTCTTCATTTTAAGAAACCTTTCTTTCTACTCTACTGTCTCAATATTCGGATTTTTTTAATTTTTCTTTATTTCTTTCTTTCTTTTTTCTGAAAATATGTGAAATATTGGGCATGGCGACGTATGAATTGCGTAATAAATATAGTTAAATAAATTTGAAGTAGAAAAAATTAGTTTAAGTTATTATTAACGTAACGCCCACCAAATATGGACCGACCTATCTCACAATGTTTTTAATTGACGAACAACCCAACCTTGAAACATTCTATAGTCAAACCTTGTCGTTAGTGTGAGTTCTTGGAAAACTTTTATCTGTTGAGCGACGATCTTTCCACTCAGTACTATCAAACAAGAAATTAAAGAATGCGTTCACAACGAGAAACCAGATAAGAGAGAGAAAATGTGATCAATGGAAAATGAATTTATTTCTCATTATTCAAAAAATATTTTCCACAGTGATATATATACCTATCTGTCACATATCACTTCACAGCTGTTACCAACTATAACAGATAATTACAACAGAATTGATCTCTCTTCCTAAATGCAATTAATGTGCTCTCTTAACACCCCCTCAATGGTGGGGGAAGCTACAATATTGAGCTTGGACTACAGCGGAAGAAATCGAGAGGCCGAGAGAGGCTTAATAAAGATATCAGCCACTTGAGCTGAAGCTGGGAGATGACAAACCATCAACTTGCGCTGAAGAACCAAGTCACGACCAAAATAAATGTCAACAAACTATCAGATCACTAAAACCGACTTTACTTGACAGGTGAGTCTCGTCAAACTCTGTTACATCTTTACACTCAAAATCGTATTTTAAAATTAGTTACAAACAAAAGATTCGTTATTATATAGATGAATAATATTTTATTTGATGATTCAAATAACAGCAACAAAACATTTGAAGGTTAAAAATATAAAATTTTAAAATTTATAGAAGAGAAAAAAATATGAATATAGAAGTTTTGAGTTCAAAGATATTATTTTAGTCATGGACTACACAATTTTTGTATTAATTAAGAATGTCGTTTATTTGTTTAAAAAGATTATTATATGTATTTTTATGTGCATACAGTAATTACAAACTTCAAATGAACAGCTAATTATGTCCCCTAAAAACACTCTTAATTAATAAGGTCATCAAAAGCTTTTTCTTTTTTCTTCTTTTTTTTTTTTTAATTTGATTGTATGGACAATGTCATTATTAATGCGGTCACGCCTCTTTGTAACTATAGTGGCAAAGACACCCTACCATTATTTATTGCTTGCAATAACTTATATGAGATTTTATTACTCTCTCCACATTAAACAAACAAATCTTAAGAAATCATGATTTTTTATTTGATGAGGATAATCTCACTTAACACTTTGTATATTGGTGTATTTGTCATTATAATTAAATTTATTGTAATTTCCAATGATACCATGTAGTTTAACATGATTATTATAATTAATTCATGGATTAAATGACCAGCATTAATCGATGATGAGACAGTCCAGGCAAAGTCACCTCTAACTCTTTGTGTGACCCATGAAAAGTCTAGTTCGACATTGTCTTGAAAACACGAATGCCACTAACGTAAAATATGTTAAACACCATTACGGAGCGTCAAAATGGGTAGAACAATGTTTTCCAAAACTTCCATATAAAATGTAAGGTTCATTCCTTACAAACATATGAAATTCTATGCAACCTCTCTAAGTTTTGCTCGACACAAGTTCGAATTAAGTATTAACTCAGGTTTCAAAATGAACGTAATCATCAGTGCAAGGTTATGTTTATAGGTCATCAACTCGCTCGAACAAGAGTTCACTTTGGTTTGAACGCTTGACTCAATACATCGTCTAGTATCTTTCACAAACACAAAGTATATGACTTATTCCCTCGAGTTCGAAGATTCAAATTCTCACCTTTGTACCTTTTTGTGACTTAATTTTGAGTGCATTTAATATATCTATGAGCAATTGTCTAATTTAATTTTAAAAATTAAGAAATTTAACTACTTATTTAAATTTAAGATTCATTCTAAAAAATGGAAAGTTTTATATTAAAATCAACTCGTTCCACTAAAAATGAATTTATAGACAAACTTTTTATATAGCATTAATTCATTGTCAAATTACACGAATATGAATATATATTTTTAAAATACGACAAGGTTGAATAAAAAAAAAGTTTAAATATAATATTGTTTAGAAAGAAAAAAAAACACGGCTAATAGAAAAGCCTTCCGACAGAGTTAGTGGTACACACGTAGAACGACCTGCCTGCTGAAAAATAATAATTTAATAATTAATATCATTTTTTAGTTTGACTTGTTTATATAATAATAAAATACATAATACAAATTTAAACTCACAACTTTTTTTACTTGAACAAAATTATTGAATCGTTTCAACTTTAAATAATAATAAATAATTTATCTACTGAACTATTTTTAGTTGACTAAAACCTTTTTAATCGAGATAAAGATATTATTATTACTGAATCGTGTTCAATTTAGTAGGGTGGTCGTTTAGTTTGAAATTTTTGAGTGGATAGGAAAAATATTTGTAAATATATAATTTTATAAATGGTTGTAAATATGAGATTTCAAAAAAGTATTTATAAATATAGTTTTTTCGTAAAAAAAATGATTAATCATTTGATAATGAAATGATATATTTTATTTGATATTGATTAAGATTATATCCATTGTAATTAAATCAACATTATTTTAGATATTAACTAATTAACACATATCTTCAATTAAAATATTATAGTTATGGTTTTTTTTAGTACCCTCACATGGGATACTAAACAAAAACTATAACTACAATAATGATTAATTATCAAATGATGTATAGTTTACTTCTAAAGTTTGTAATTATTATTTAACTGCTATATTTACAATATTTTATCTTAATTATGCTCGACATGAAACCAACCGATTTTAAATATTTTTTTCAAGAACTAACTTTAGCCATCTATGAAAAGGGAAAAAAAAAGGTACACAATTACAAACACATTTTTACTGATTTTATTCTTCAAATAACAATTAGCTATTTTAAAAAATTATACAAATAGCCCATTCTTTCTTTTTTCTTTTTGTTTTGTTTTTGGGTTACTTAAATTTTAATAAAATTGTGAGTTGGAAGTGGAAGACATACTTAGCTTGGACTGCAAGCTACCATGATTGTTATCTCTCACTTTAATTTTGATAATAAACTGCAAAAGATATCACCAAGCATTGGTCGTAATTATGATTTAGCATGACAAAACAAAAAATATGGTGTTCTTTTTTTTTTTAATTTCATGAATTGTTATCACTATATTAATAATAATAAAATAATAGCTTTATCGAAAGCATTTGGTTAATGATAGGATTGAAATATTATTTTACTTCCAATATTTTTAATTTTTTAATTTTGATTCATTTGGTTCTTATCCTTTCAATTTTCGTTCATTTTAATTAATTAAATTATAATTATAATCTAAACTCAACCGCATACTTTTAAGAAGAACTATTTTTGTCTCTTAATTTTATTTTTAATGTCATTTTTAATCATAATTTCAACAAAACACTACACTCGATATATTTCTTTAAATTTTTTCGTGACTTTATATAAAATGATTTACGTTATGGGTATAATTTATGTTAAAATTTTTATAAATAAGGACTAAATTGATCACCATTTTAAAATACAAGGAATAAAACAAACATTTTAAAAATATGAGAACTAGAATGAACTGAGGTTAAAAGTACCTTAATCAAAATGAAAATTTTAAAAGTATATCGACCAAAATAGTATTTTAATCGTGATAGATAGTGGAGTATTAATTTTACAGCAAACCCGCACATCACCCTTAAAGTTAGATATTTAGTCGACATGAGAGTTCAAATAGTTGGACATTATTAATGTATTTTCTTATACGTTTTAAGTTTGAGTCTTTGGAGACTGAAGTTTTGAGCTTTCTTGTTTCCAAGAAATTATTATTTTTATTTAGAATGTAGATTTTGGAACTATCATATTTCGAAAGAGATACTTTTTTGAATTTAAATGAATCTCCGTATCTTTTGAAAACTCAATTTTTGATGTATATTCATGCTACAATAATAATCAAATAAAATTTGTTTTAACCAACATGAAAGTTTAACAATAATTAATATCGGTCTCTGATTAATGTCATGAATTCGAATTCTCAACCTGCTTGTTGGACTAAAAATAAAAATAAAAAATAAACCATCATATTTCTCCACTAAATGTGTTTCTTATTAGAAAAGCTATGACACTATTATTTTTCACCAATATTTGGTGCAAATATTGGCATGAGTGTGAGCTATGTGGGTAGGCATCAACTCAAAATTTGTAGGTAGGTATCGTGTTTAACATTAAGGACAACTAATTTCAAAAGATTTGTAATAATGATGAAATATTGGGTACAAAAGCAAAAGTTAAACTATTTAATTAATATAGATTAGCCATGTACAAAAATTCTTTAAATATCCCTGAACTGTAGAGTAGGTTTTTCGTGATGCTTCATGTTAAAATTTACATTTATAATTTTAACGTTTAAAATTGTTTCAAAACAATCATTCTGTCAATTTTTCATTTACGAAAACATAAACGAGACAGGTAAGTTGTAAAAAAAAAGTACATATGACTACATGGTTTCGGATTTACTCCTAGACTTTAAGGTAAATTTCAATTATATAATCTTCCGTTTTAAAAGTCACAACACTGCTACGTGCTGACATTCAAGTAGTCGCACTGACACTGTCATTTTTTTATTTTCTTTTTAACAAACACGTTGATAGAAGGGGCTGTTTTGAAATAATTTTAAGTTGAGAGTGGAAATAAAACTCTTGAAACAACAATGACATAATTGAAACATATCATAAAGTTCGGACGCATTTTTTTTCATAATTTAACATTTTAAAGAAGTTGTGATATTTGAACTACTCATCACAAATCGGTGCTTTAAGAATGAATAGCTTCATTTTTTTTCTAAGAAAAAAGAAAAACAATGGTCCAATATATCTTTACCAAAAAAAAAAAAAAAAATTAAAAAAAAAAATTAAAAGAAAAAACTATTTTAAAAGCAATTTTGAAACCAATATTAAGTCTCTTTCACGATCTATACATTTGACCTTCCTATTTTTGTCTTAGACAACTTGTATTACACTAAAACTGTATAAATTAGGAGTTACGTATTTTTGTTGTTTAGCTATACTCGTCTTGACAAATACAAGTTTGATTTAAGACTTTACTTCCTATCTATTAATAAATTTATAACAAATACATACGAGTCTTACCATTCACTCAAGTTCATGTATGATGGGTGAGAGCCGATCGAGAGGACAAAAAATGTCAAATGAAACCGATCAAACCGACTCAACTTAGTTACCTTTGAACTCCTCAGTTCATTGCAAGTCTAGTACGATGGGTGAAAGCCGGTCCAGAAGACAAAAAATATTAGGTGAAACCGACCGAACCGACTCAACTTAGTTAGTTTGAAGTATCTTTATTGACTGGTTCAGACTGATTTTAGTCAGTCTCGCACAATTTGGGTTGCGCAGTTGGCTCGGTTTATTTTCTTTTTAGTTTTTCTTAAACCGTCCTGCTTGCACCCGTAAAACCACAAAAAAAAAAGGAACTGTCATTAAAATTATTGAGGTTTTACAACAGAAAAACCTGATAACAAACAATACAATGGCAAAATTCTCTGCTTTCAGTATTTTTATTACGTGAATGAGTAGAGGAACTAGAGGAGCTGTTCCAGTTCCCCAGCATTAAACTCCTTCATCGTGCATGGCAATTGGCAAGACATCTCTTCATCAACCACAGGTGGAAATGGGAGCTTTCCCTTTTCATTATAGCCTGAAAGCTTCTTTAATCCTTTACCCTATTCAACTCAATCTCAGAAGCTTAGCAGAGAAACCATGTCAGAATCCGCGGGTTTCTATTTGCCTTTTCATGTTAACTTTCAGAATATCTATTTTTGTTTTGTGTTCATGGAGATATTCCAGGAACAAGTGGAATTGGTGGCTTTGGCTTCTTTGTTTTCTCGACCATTATGGCTTGAGTCGTTAGAATGATCCCGGTGATAGAGGCCGCAATCTGAAGCGCACATCTAGAAACAAGGCAAGGATCTACTACACCGGCATTGAGAAGATCCTCATATCTGTCTGTCATTGCGTTATATCCATGTCGCCATTCGCCAGCTCGAGTCTTCTCCACAACAATTACTCCATCATCTCCTGCATTACTTGCAATGTATTTTGCAGGTGCAAGGAGTGCCTGCAAGTCATTTCAAAGTCTATTGAAAATTTTAAAGGCACACCAATATCACAGTAAAAACTTAATAAAGTTAAAACAGTCATTTGTTAATTCAGTACCAAAATTCTTTAAGCAATCAATAAAAGGAAACTTATTAGAACTCTATAGAACTATAGAACTGATCATGTTCAAGTAAGGTCGTCAATAAAAGGAAACTTATATAAGTCCAGCATCTGATGAAGTCCTTTTTTTTTTCTTTTTTTCGTTGTTATAATCACGATATTGGGCTCCATTCCTCCACTGCTTCCATTATGCTCATAACCTATCCCGACTAATCTTGAGGAGACTTCATCCACCTCAAGCCTAGCTCATTTCGTATACGTAGACTTGCATCTAGGACCTTGGAGGGTATATCTCCTATCATCTTTAATTCCTTAAGCCCTTGTCACTAGGAACCCCTTGGAGGTGCAATCAATAAACTTAAAACTCAAAGAGTTATTTGTATTTTGTAACACAAAGCAACGGTAAAAAAACCTATTATCATGAAAGGAAACTTCTCTAGGTGATCAACTGGATAACCATATTTCTAAAAGCACTACACTTGGGAAGAACAAAAACTGGAATATTGCGCCCGAACTTAAATTCTGCATTCATCTTCTTTATAATAGAGAACATCTATCTTGCCTTGTCAGATAGTTTGCCTATCAAGAAGACTGTTATCCAAATCAAAACATTCCGTTTCACCAAATCATAAAGGTACCAAGATACTAGCAGTTTGATTTCGAATAAAGAGAGGGCAGAAACCATGGTAGAGAAAATGGGCCTGCACCATACCTTTCCCACGAGATCCACACCCATCTGCTCATCCTGATCCTCCATCGAATGTTTTATGGTTGGAAGCAATTCAGACAGATGAACATAGGTAGCACCTCCACCAGGAACAATGCCTTCATTCATAGCAGCAAATACAGCATTTTTTGCATCCTCAATTCTGAGTTTTCTATCTTCAAGTTCCACCTCTGTATGTGCTCCCACCTAACTTCGACCACAATAATAAAAAAGAAGTAAAAGAAAATATTGTTATGCCTAGAAATAAGACAATATGTCCTATGTAAAATAAAAAGAAAAATGACAATAATCAAGGCAACACAAAGGCCAATACAATAATATTAGGGGGGAGGGGATGGATGATGACTGGTTTATTAATATTTGCAAGAAAATAAAATTTTTGCATTCTTATATTTCAGTCGAAAAACGATTAAGAGGCTTTCTGTTAATTATTTGTTGCTGTTTAAGTTCTTACTCTTCTTAGGTGGACTAAAGATTATCCTCAATCTTTTCAAGCACCATGTGTTTTGTAACTTCTATACTCCGTGGTTTCTGACTTCTAAAAACGGAATAACAAAAACTTGAATCTGTAGATACTTATGAAGACAAATTGAATGGATAATATGCAACACAATAGATTTAACCGATAGCCATAAGTTGAGATCTTGGTTAAGATGAACTTTTACTACTTTTAGATATGATCTTCAATTTGCATTTATATCACTCAGAATTCCCATGCAATCAACTGTTTAACAGAGAAATTTTTGGATGTTTAGATAGAAAACGTTCCTTTGTGCACTATACTTCCAAGGCTGTACAGCATTGTAAATATAAAGAGCTGTACATTAGCCAACTTCAGAACAAGGATGCCAGATTCCTGAACTTCTAGAAGAAATCTGATAAAAAGAAGTTGCRGGAGTGTTCTGACATGCTCCCTAAAGTTGGTAACTTCCAGGTGTCTTCAAATGAGGATGGTGAAGTTTGGTTGATTCTTCATGTTCCTTCTTTGTGATGTCCCTCTTAAAATGTTCATCAAGGGACAAGAAGCATTTAACTTTTAGCTCTCTGAGGCTGTTTGGAAGGCTAGCTATCCTAAGATGTGCAAGGCTTTCTTCTCAACTCGGTGTAAATATTTGGGATAAATCTCGACCAAGGAACCGTAAACGATACTAATATCCTTCTTATGGAGACTTCTTGGCACTTTTTGACTACGAACTCCAATCCCATCCAGCATTAAGCATTACAGAAGCTCTCTTCATCGTGGTTTGAGGTCAAATTTTCAATGGTAAGGCAAAAAAGCCCTTGGGTATAATGCAACCAGGGCTGTCCTTCGGGAAGTTCACTTGGAGAAAGGAATGAAAGATTATTCCAAGTAGAAGAAAGCATCGGGAGGATCTGCAGGAAACTGTTGCTTCTGTAGTCTCAACATGGAGTGATTTGTTTAACTCTTTGTGAAGTTACCCCCTAAATTCAATTGTAAAGCGTTTTTGTAACCCTTGGCTTGAGGGGATCTCTCGACTCTCTCCCTTAGTATCTTCATCTCGTGAATAAACTTCTGTTTCTTTTATATGTAGGTATGTAAGTATAGTGATGAGAATATACTTCCAACTTCCATTTAACTACTATACTAAAAAGAAATTGGCTTTCAGTTAATACTACAAAGAAAGAACTAATCCCTTCTCCATGGTTGCCATAGCGAATAAGGATATATTAAGCACCGGATTGCAGCACATGACATTACAGAAAAATCATCAAGCCAAATAAAATCAATGGTGAAAAATCTCACAAAAGCTGCACTTTCAAGAAATCTTTCAAAACCACAAACCTTAATGACAGCAACTCCACCAGAAAGCTTAGCAATCCTCTCCGAGAGCTTTCTTGAGAGGTTGGAGTTATCTGTTTCAACAAGATCCTTTTTAATCTGCGAAATTCTTGCTTGAATTTCAGCTTTAGTAGAGGGGTCAGCAACTATTGTTGTTGAGTTACATGTTATAACTATTTTCCGAGCAATTCCTAGCTGGTCCGAAGTTGCACTTTCAAGATCTAGACCCAAATCTCCAGACAGAAAATCAGCACCTGAGAATTTTAAAATAAAGTCAACAAACTAATATTGCACTGTCTCATAATTAAATAGTCAAATCAGCTGCAAGTTAATACCCCACAGCAGTCAAAATCACATAAGCCAATCTGATCTATACTCATAAACTTTAAAGTTTAAACTATATACCAGACAAACACCATCTTAGTCACTCGCACTCTTCCAAAATATAAGTAGGCTTCTTATGTTCTAAGTTTATTATAGCATGGAGGCACTGATGATGAGTGCTTGAACGGGAGAAAAAAAGCTTAATAGAAAGTTTATCTATGAGGGAAGAATAATAGAAATAATAGCATCAAAAAACTCTCTTTATTCAATTCGCATTCTGCAAAATAAACCTGAAAGGTTTAAATAAGAGTTTCTACTATCTCAAATAATCATGGAATAGCTTTGAAGCTTTGCAAAAAGTTAGACATAATCCAGTAATATTCTAGGCTCTTTTCCAGGAATCGGATGAAAACTGACCTGACACTACACAGCTTCAGAGCATAAGGCAGTACAACTGGTGAACTGAAAGCCTAAGAATATATTCAGGCCATTTTAAGTGCTTCTCTCTCTCTCTCTCTGTTTTTTTTCCTCTAATAAGAAACAGGGGAAACATCCACTAAAAGGCCACAGCCAACAAATTCATTTTACGTGCTTCTTGAAAGAATTTGAACGGGAAATCAACAGCTATGTCAAAAAGGATAAAGTCACAATGGCACCACAAGTACAATATGAAATCTGATGCATAATGTCACCRAACAAGAAAACCTCCCCTCTGCCAAAACCCCAACACAAATGTACAAAAAGCAGGACAAGTGATGAAATAATTTTATTGCTTATATGTGACATTAAAATAACAAACATGTAAACAAGCATATTTTTACTGTTCATGGATGCATTTAGTTCACCTGTCATTAGTGCAATATCTTGCAATAGAGCTTTCTTTCTTTCACCAAGCCCAGGACATTTTACAACGGCCACATTAACTAAACCCTGCACCTTGTTCAGCACTAGGGTTTCTAGTACTTGTCTTGAGATGTCCTCCGCAATAATTAGCAGAGGAAGACTAAGTTGTACAGTTTTCTCCAACAATGGTACAATTTCTTTGACAGTAGAAATTCTTTGATCAGTTACTAGGACTTTTGCATTGTCAAACTCCACGATAGACTTATCTTGGTTTGTAATAAACTGAGGCGACATGTAACCTTTATCAATCTGCGATGAGAGATACAATGGAATCAGAAGGACAAAATTAAGAGAGAATGAGATAGATTTTGGATATTACAGATGCACATTAAATAGGCACTTGATGCAATGCAAATATAATGGAATCTGAAGATCTGTCTTCAAACTATCCCAAATCTAGAGACACAGAGAGAGAAAAATTAACACCGCTTTAAATTAGAATTATACTATCCTCAGAGGATGTCAGAAAGCTTCTCCTTTTTGCTGATAAATCATTTACCTTCATTCCTTCTTCTATTATTACAGAAGTCTCAGAGGATTTGGATGACTCAATTGAGATCACACCATCAGGGCCAATCTTTTCTATTGCTTCAGCAATTAAGTTCCCCACATATTCATCATTTCCAGAAGATATCATTGCAACAGCTGCAGAAAGGATGAGGGTAGTTCAGCACCATTTACTTCCCAAATGAAACTTCACCGGTGTTCAACCAGATGAGAAGAAAGAACCTTTAATATCATCTTTTCCTTGTACAGGAGTACTTTTCTTCTTTAAGACCTTGATTAATTCCTTTACAGTCTTATCTATTCCTTTCTTTAAGGAAACTGGGTCAGCCCCAAAGGAAATTGCCAATAGTCCAGATTTGACCATTTCACGTGCCAAAATTATTGCGGTGGTAGTTCCATCACCAGCCAAGTCATTCATTTTACTAGCAACCTGAAACCAGGAAATTCAAGAATATATATCTTAAATGTTAAAACTACATCGAAAAAGCTTACGAATAGGTGGGATTTAACTTAACAACCATGAATGACCTCTTGGATCAGCACCACTCCCGCATTCTCAATTGCATCAGAAAGCTCTATAGCTTTAGCAATTGTAACCCCATCATTAACCACTTTAAGTGTTCCTTGTTCAGAGAGAATAACATTGCGACCTGCACGTTTTGGTAAAAAAATAACTTAAATATCAAATAAAAGCATTATTTCAGATGTGATTGCTGAGACTGATAAGATACAGCTACTGCACATTAAATTTAGTTATGCATCATTCTTGTAGCAATTCATAAGGTAGACAGCAGATTTAGCGATCAATAATGAATTGCCAAACAGTTCCTGATTTGAGTGGTGAAAACCGCAATAAAAGTTCTTCGCACAAATCAAATGAAATTATACGTGGGGAAAGAATTTTTCAGTGACCAATCTTTTCACTCCTTTCCTCCACACGCTTTAAGAAATTGTAACTCCAGCAAGTTATATCACGCTCATACATTTTCTACTAAATTTCTTCAACTAAGATGTGAATGATTAGATACTATATAATCTAAATCGGTCGTATTTAATGAAAGAAATAAAAAAAAAAAAAAAAAACTCGCCACTTTGAATCCACCCCACATATTAACCAAGAAAATTGAACTCGGTAAGTACTGCACATCGGCTTCCTAAGCAGAAACCCGCAAAAGATACAGACCCAAAAAAGGAGAAACGCCACATATCCAAGCTCAAGAAATGGCATAAAAATTACAGAAGATAGAAAGCCCGTCCAACCTTTAGGGCCTAAAGTGATAGAAACAGCATCAGCTAGCTTATCAATCCCGGCTAGTAAGGCCCCTCTGCATTCTCTACCAAATGAGATCCTCTTCGGGCCGGCCCTGACGACAAAATTCCTCAAATTCCATGGATTTCTGGCGTACCCAGATAGCGATTGGCTCCCACGGAGCTTCTGCAGAGCACCCAGCAGTTCAAAGTCACAGAAAAGAGACGGGAGAAGTGCGGAAACAGAGATGAAAATCGACTTACAGGGAAGAGTAGAGGTCCGAGAAAGGGAACGGATGAAGAGAGAACGCGGGGAACTTCCATGAGTTTGTCGCCGTCGTTGAGATGCGAAGATTCAATCCAAAGGTTTTGTCGGGGTTTTACGAAGCTAAAAGACTGAATTGTTTCTAGTTCAGGTTGGCCGCTTAAACGAGTAATCTGTCTATTTCTGGATTGTGTGACGTTAATCTAAATAATAAAAATTCTGAAAATATTTTTAATTTGAAACTGAAAAAATAAAACCTAACCTGAGCATAATTTGTGAGTTCAGACAGCTGGTTGATTTCTTATCCCTATATTTATTGTAAATAAAACTTTCGATAAATACACCACGGCCGTTGTAAACTTTTTCGTGGTTAAAATTAAAATATGAAAAAATAATATATGATATTATAAAATAATAAATGTACAAAAAAAAAGTAAAAAATTTATAACATATATATTTATAAATTAATCGATCATATTTCAGCTTCATCAATTATTAAATTGACAATACATTTGCTTAACTAAGGACATGAACATGCGTCTTTGAATTTTAACCCATTGTACTGAAGAAAACGATGAATATTTAATTTGATTTGGCTTCGAAATTCGAAATTTTCCTTTTAATTTTCCCTTTTGTTCATTTTGATTTTTATAAAACATCCAAGAATTTTAGCATGGACCAAATTAATCATTTTGTTAAAATAAACATCTTGAAATTACAAAAACACAAATAAACGTCTTGAAATTGCATGGATCCGAAGCCAAAAGCTGAAAGTATATAAATAAAACAATCTACAAGTTTGACATAAAATTTAAATATAGAGTGAGCAGATAAAGAGCTTGGCATCCGGGTTCCCTCCGAAGTTTAAGCATAAAATGTAAATTTAACATATCACTTATTTTTTAATCAAAAGCCAAAAAGTTGCTTCAAATCACTACACTGTCAAACATATTTTTCAAAATGACCATTCAATTATTTCATCTGAGTGAGAAAATTCCACCAAATTTGTGAGCCTTACAGAGGAAAGAAAATCCAGAAAAAGGAAGAAGGAAGAAACGTGCAGTCCAGAGAAGCAGCTGAACTGAAGTGATCTGATCTGATGCAGAGTTCAAACATCTCAGTGCTTTGAATCTTCTTCTTCACAGAACTTGGAGTACTGGTCAGAGTCCATCAAGTTTTTCAGTTCACCACTCTCACTCACCTCCACTTTAATTATCCATCCATTTTCATATGGACTCGAGTTCACCTAAATTATCATCAACACAAATGGATCAGAAAACACGAAATGGGAAAGTTATCAACCGTGTCACTATTTCTTAAAAAAAGAAAGAAACGATTATTTCTTAAAAAAAGAAAGAAACGATTATCAAACGTAGTTCTGTTTTTCTTTTTTAGAAACAGAAAACACTACGTGAGAAGGGAAAAAAAACGTTACTAAACGAACCCTTAAGATACCAAATGACATGAAAGCTTTCCATGGAAAGGGTGATTACCATGTTCTCAACAGAGGCAAAGGAGTGGATAGATGCAAATAAATGGAAATTCTTATGTAAACATCAAAACATGGTTAAAGAAGGCTGTATAATCCAAAGAATTCAGAATATGCAAACTCCCATGACAACAGATTCATGATGCTAAGAAGAGTTAGTACAAGTCAATCTGCAACAAAATCACATACTTTTGACACGAAAAGAACACTGCACATAAGACTAACGTCTTGCATATAATCCCTCTCCACAACACAATCATGACGAAGCAACTTTAACCTTCACACATTTACCTTAACCAAATCTTTTTTCTTTTTTTTAAAGAAACCGAGCGTTCATTCAGAAAGAT